CAGAGGGAAAGGCACCAGACCTAATATCCCACTGACAGAGAGCAGAGGTGATGAAGAGGAGCTCTCCATTAGGTCATTCATACTGACACCTTCTGCTTGCTGATACTGAAACCAGTACTAAGGCTGAACAGTTTCCCAGCCCCTTCCCGTAGTCATCTATGCTATCTACAGCCATTCACAGAACTCATCTGTGAATCCAGCTGGCTGCCTCTCCCCTTCCAATGTCCATTGCTTGTTCACTCTGTAATACAGGACAACCCTTCACCTAGGGAACGCTGTGGCTTGATACATACTGCACAATGTCTGCAAGGGCGGTGAGCAACGTTTTGCACTGGTACTCAATGCCATGTTTGGCGCACAGGGACTTCACCAGAGGGGCCACCTTCCAGTAGTTGTGTCGAGGCATTGTGGGAAAAAGGCTGTGGAAAAAGAATAAGGTGGTATCAATGGCATCAGTTATCACCCCGCAGAATTCCTGCCCCTCTTCTGTGCCTAAACCTAGACATGTCTCAACCTCCCCTTGTGATTATAGCCATCAGTGCTGTGTAACGGTCCCTTCCACCTCGCTTCACTCAACACTGGTACTAACCAGGAGGCTGCGTAACTCTCACTCACTCCCGTGTCATGCTACTCACATCTGAAGTGGTATTGGTGCTCACCAGCGCTCCAGAAAGCTTCCGCCCCATCACTTGGGGTTCCCACTCCATTCCCATACAAAAAGCACACAGTTTCCCCCCCTTTGTCTTTGTATTAGCTGATAGAGAGATGGGGACCTTGGAGGCTCTTCAGGCCTAGAGTAACTAGCACTCCTTGAAATTCCCTTGCATCCCTGTCCCGTCCTTCAACTCACTGGTGTTCGATTTGGAAGTTCAGGTGTCCACTAAACCAGTCATTGAATAGGGAGTGCTGAACATTGCAGGTTGCCTGGAGCTGAGGGAAAAAAAACAGATAGCATTCAAGTGTTGTTCTAGGAATGCCCCTTCCCTTGCATTTGTTGGACACGATGGCAAACAAGTACCCATTCCTTATCACCACGTGCCTTCTGATTGAATACATCAGCTCCAAGAGTTATAGGACCCAGTCAACACAAGAAGGCCATGCTGCAATATACAGTCATTAGCGATACGGTTTAGGAGAACAAATCTGACTTCTCCAGTAAGACATGTCATAACAACCATGAGAGTCTTTCCTCTGTGCAGATCCCCTCATACCTCTCACTTAAAAAGCTGAACAATGTCTTCAGAAGCAAAATAAGAGAAAGCACAAAAGAGAGCACAAGAGAGATGTATCCTTCACGCATGGGAAGACCTCTACCTGAAGAGCATTGCAGCATCTCCAGTTCTTTTCCTTGAGGCACTTTTGTTCAGCATTTGAAGCTTCCATCTCACTCCTGCACCTGCTTTCTTTGCACTAGTCAGTCATTTCACAAAGTGAGGACAAGTTGCTTATGTTTTCCTCTCTCAACTCCCAACACTTCTGTGATCACCCGTCTTGGGCATTATGTACCCTGATCTACAACTCCTCCCATTCAGGGCGTCAGCTCTTTGGAAAGAGGAGGGTCTTACCTGGGTGGAGAACCAGTCCATGTTCTTATCATAATCGATGTGCATCGGGATGTGACTCATTTGTGTAACCCAGACAAACCAGTTACTCTCTATGAACCTGTGCATACAAACACACACAAAACCATCACTGCCTTATGCCACAACAAGTCAGTACAAAACACACACCCAAGCTAGTTGTCACTTGATAAAACGAGTGCCAGGAACCCCAAACGTTTGGCCAGCAGATCAGGCGTACACAGACCTTCTACATTCCACACAGACACTTTTTACCTTCTAAAGACACATTTCCGACAGAGAACAACCTCTCTCTTGCCAAAAGGCATAATGGGACAGAAGAACAGGGAGTAGATGGGAAGGATAAACAGAAGGCTGTGGAAGAGTTGACATGAAGGATCAATGAGAAATAGGTAGAGGAACTGGAGGAAAAATAATTTAAACGATACCTGACTAACAGAAAAAGCCCCAGGATACCTTTCACCTCCAGTAAGAGAAAGTAGGTGAGAAAGAATCGGATGTAGAAAGTCAGCATCCAGGCCAGGTCCTGTAATGAAGGGAACAAATAAAACTCAGTCAAGAAGAATTAGTGGCTCCCAAATTTACAGTCCTCTCTACGTGGACTCCCTCTAAAACCTCCCATAGTATCTTCCGTTGATAGATTTTCCTCCCCAGCCCCATCACATGCAATCTGAAACAAAGCCACTCCCCAGCCATCGCTGTGCACTCGAGTTATCTTCTTGTGTTTTATGAGCCCACCATAGGTCAAACACTAGAGAGGACATACTCTGAAGCACCACATTTTGTCTGATTCTAAAGAGAAAGCAAGCAGTGCAGAAAGCAGAAAGCTAGCCAATGAAAGGGATAAAGAGCTCTAATTCATGTCCATCTCACTCTCTTTGCTCCTCTCTATATTTCTTGTGGTCTCTTATTTTCTTCATGATCATTTTCTCCCAGCTATCCCTATCACCAGACAAGGATAGAACAGCTTAAGTGACTGGTTTCCAACCCTTCCACGTCTCAAAGAAGAGATATCTCTTTTGTGCATTCCTCCTGAAGTCTCTGGAAACCACACTATTCCTCAAGATTCTGTATTTTCCCCAAGCAAACTCTCTTCCTAACAACTCCGCAAGTCCACTACATCCACTCCATTTCCCTTTGTTCCACTGCACATTGAACTGCTGGAGGGGTTGGCTATAGGCTACCAAGAGAGGCCCAAGACCACAAAGGGGCAATGAAAGAGCTATCTCATGGCAGGTAGATGGGGCAAGGCTTGCTACAAGGGAGAGCAGGCTTTTGCAAGATGAGAATCTGCAGCTACAAATCTCCGCGTTTCTCCCAATAATGCTTCATTTCCTGCACTGATACAGATCCATAAATCTAGGAGAAGTCACCAGTGGCAAAAGGGAGCTGACTTACCACCCATTGTTTCCGCTGCACCACAAAGTAGAATATGTACCACTGGAAGTAAAGCGGCACCAGAGCTGGGGGACCAACTAGAGTGGAAAAAGAGATTGTAGAGACATTAATCTGGCCCCTTTAAAGTGAGCTAAACTGGAAGAGGAAGTTGAGCAAATGCTGTTCATAGAACCATGCAAGGGTAGGGTTACTCACTGATGAAGAAGTACTTGTGCTGGTGGTTATAAGGCATGAATTTCTTCTTCTTTACACCAAGCTGTTAAAATAAGCAAATTACTCAGGCCACAAAGAAAGCTAAAGACCTGCACATTCACCCGCTACTTACTCTGTCAAAGAAATGCATATTTGGACACCTCCTAACCTTTGAAAGGGATGTCCTATCAAATCATGCCAGCATCCATCATGCCATTGGCTTCATCATCCCCTGGAACTTCCCTCTGCGACTTCTATGATAATTTTCCTAAGGAGAGTCTCCTTACTCTGCCTTGGATGCACTATACCCTGGGTAGTCCCTTGCAGCACAAATAATATCAAAGTGCACTGGAAGCTTTTCTCCTACAGAAGGCGCAAAGCCTCGTTGCCAAAGGCATATCATTTATTACTCCTATGCCAATGCTACTAAGAGGCTGAAGAGCTGGGTGAAAGCCACAAACATCAGAGGACACACAGTGATATCTAGTAGATGTATACAAGGCCTACACATGACCATCCACTTGCATGACCAATTTCCTCTGGGCTATCGGGATTAACTCATACCAGTCAGCAGGCCATGAACGTCAACACCTCCCCAGGGTTCGGACCAAAGGCGTGCAGCCCACCCAAACCGCAATACTGGAGTTTGTGCGACAGGAAGGTTTTGCTGCTCTCTACAAAAGCTTCTCATAGCCAGTCTATAGCTGGCACTAGCTAGACCTTGTTTTCATGGATCAGGGGTCCTACGAAGAGGTCTGTCCTCATGCCACCAAGAGAGAAGTCAAGTAAAAAAATGTCACCTGCAACTTCTTTTCCTCATCCTGTTATCCGCCTTCATTTTCCTCTTCTTTCTGATTCCCTTCTCTAGCTTGTCTGCCTTGCTCCTCCATTACTTATAAAGTGTTGATTTTTCTTGTTTACTCATTAGCTTAATTTTAAGTCTGTTAACACATATTTACATCCATTCTATGCTGCCTGTCTGAAATTGTAATTCTGAGCTTAGGGTTTTCATTTTTAGTCATCTTTTTGTGTTGAAAGTGAGGCAGGTCCCTGACCAAATCTGGGGTCATTAGTCTCCCAGCTCTCTAAAACCTTCTGAATCCTAACGCTGTAACCTCCGCAGACCTCACTAGGACTCACCTCCACAGAAAGTGTTTTTCCCAAAGCAAAAAATAAGGGGTGCATGTTAATGTCAGGGTCCTTCTGGAAGCAGTTGGGTTTAGCGTGGTGTTGGAAGTGGAGGTGATTCCACCAGCTGGCTGGTGCTCCCTGCAAGAACGGATGAGAACAGAGTGACAGCAAGAAGTTAGGTCTCATGCCTTTAGCCCTCCCTCCTTAGCAGTTCCATTGCTTTCCCTTCCTTCTTATGCTGAGACTGTTTGGGACTGCAAAGTCGCCCTTGCTAGTCTCTGGCAGCCACTCTCAGCACTTCACGCTCACCTTCAGATGGCCGATCACAAACTTGTGAAGCCAGTGGTTCCATTTGGGCTTGCTAAAGACTGAAAGGTGTCCAAAATCATGCTGGAGCCAGCCAGCCTGGACCTAGAAGGGGGGGAAAAAAAACACTGGGAAAAAAAGACAACTCAGGAGACTTTGCATCTGAAAAGGTGTCCCTCCTCTCTACTCTCACCGTTCCCACTCTCCCCATAACATACCCCCAGCTAGTGAGAGCACATTCTGCTGTTGCAGAGAATTATTTCCACTACTAATATCCAATCCAAAAACTTATCTTTAACTAAGTCATACGAATGAAATCCAAACTCAGTCTAATGACTGTTAGTCCCAGAGAGTTGTTTTCCCAGGGAAGGAAAAAAAAAATGGAAAAAAAGATCAGGGAGCTAAGAAACAGAGCATTTATTCTTTTACTAACTGAGCTGAAATCAGCAACAAAGTATCCTTTAAGGAGCAGCTTGCTTCCTCGGAGTACTTGTAATTCCAGGGGGATTGCAGGAGAAATAGCTGGGGCTTTCAGAGCTGCTGTGTCCTCTGTGCTAAGTCACTGCACGTTCCCATGGGAACACGAGGGCCTGGCTAGTGCATAGCGCCTTAGAGCTCTGCCCCAAGAGATCTCAGAAGCGTAGCCTGGTTTTCAGTATGTGAAGAAGGCTGAGAGTAAAGAGGGCTTGGACGGATGATGGGAAGCAACGACCAGTTTTGAGCCCGCTTTACCAGAAAGCACATCATGGTACTGTAATTTTGCCCCTTCAGCGGAGCCCAGGGAGGAGCAGAATTATGAGGAGCCCAAAAGGATCGACATTTCTTCCACGTTTAGGGTAATATGAACCTAAATCTCAAAGGACTGGCTTTTGGCATTTCCCAGGATTGTTTTTACCACTTGCAATGCCTAGCTGCTCACCTGGACAGTGCCTAGAAGTACTGCAGAGAAGAGGAAAGGCACCATGGATGATCCAAAATACCAGATGGTGAGCCAGGCAGCAACATCCAGCAGCAGGATGTGACAGAGATGCAGCATGAAAAACGCGCAGTTGGGGTTGAGAAGCCCCATCTTCTCAACAGTTGTACGGAGTTCTCGGAAATCTTCTACCAGCCTCTTCTGTGGGGAGACCCAAAGCTGTACATTTGCTGGTCTGAAAACACCCCAGGAGCCCCTGAGAAGCTCACGTTCCCCTCTAAAGGAATTACTGTAGCAATAGGGAAAAACGGAAGGTCGTTTAGAGAGGCAAATTCGCAGTAGCTATATTATGAACCCTGAGGAGGCAAATAACTTGATGACACTGAAGAGTTTCTTAATAGCTGATTGCATTCACCCTCTCGACTCCCACCCACAGGTGATGGCTGCTGCAGGAAAGTAAATCCTTTGCCAGTCTGATTTACCCTTTCACACCTGTGATTCTGGACAGACTCTCTACTGTGCCTTGGTCCCACACTAAACGGGGAGAGCTGAAAAACAGAAGGTAGCTAAGAGGCCCTAAAAACACAAACTAGTAAAGACACAAAGGCAAGGAAAAGCTTCAGACTGACGAGGTGATTCCATGACATTTATCATTTTACATAAAGAAAATTCTGGCTGCCGCTAAGGAAAGCGAGTAGCACAATTTCAACCCAAATAACCAAGTTTTTAAAGGCACTTACATTCTTGCTGGGCTCAAAGCTGGGTTGATCTGGTGCTAGTTCTCCAATCAATAGCGGACTCATATACTTTCTGACCAGTGCCTTGTCAAGATGAAATGCTATGAAAGGATCCTGAAATACAGATATAGAATCAGGATGAGAAAAACAACACTAAGTTGTGAACTGAAAGTCACTGGGTAAAGATTTGAATGTGATTTTGTGTGTGTTTTTTTTTTTTTTTTTTGGCCACAGATCTTACTGCTTTCTTCACACCATAAAATATTATTTGAAGTTGAATTCTCTATATCATTTTCTAGCTGGAGGCTGTTATGTTATGGTGGGCTGGGCGCCCACCAAGAAACGTGGGCTCACCCCCCTCTTCTGAATCTGAAATTTTTCATTTTCTGTTGAACCCCAAGATATACCATCTCAAACTCACTTTCTCCTGTCTCTAGTTCCTCTTAAGCTTCCGTCTTATCTGTCCTCAGCCCAGTCCTTCTCAGGCCCCGTACCCTGAAACGGGAGTCAGACTAGGAAGGCAGACAAAATGGTAGCACAAACACTGAACCAGCTAGCTGAATGGGTCAAATAATGGGGTGAGAAGGAAATAGGTCACGGGAGCTCACCCACGCCAGCCTCTCAAGAGCCCCAGGTTGTTGCAAAGGTGTCTTCTTGTCCACCTCATCCTTCCACATCTTCCCAGCTCAGCTCTGCTTTCTTGCTAGCTGCCTCCCGTTCTCTATCTGCTTCCACTCCACCATCCTGAAGAGTCCCCTAATTACATCTCGTTTCCTCTTTGTGGTTCAAGAGCTCCCAGCTAGTGAAATCGGTTACTTCCACCAACTAAATGAAATGTCAGTCTCCAAGGCAACCAGGCAGCCAGGTACTACATGTATTTGTAACCAGTAGGGATTATCACTGTATTTAGATTCTATCTCACTGCCGAGACCAGCTTCCCTGAGCACACAGGGCAATTTGGCATCTAATTCCCGTTTATCTCCTTTGGCTTCTTTCTCTGCTGGCAACCTTTGCATATGCTTTACAATCTCCCTCAGCTTAAGGGTGCTTTTTGTTTTTTTTCTTTCCTGAGCCCAGAGCTGCCACTGCACCAGATCAGCAAGTTCCCTGCACGAGGTGCTGTTCAGCCGTGTAACTACCGGCTCATCTTTACAAGCTTTTCCAATGAACTGCCCCTTTAAAAGCTCTCCGGTCAAGAACCGGGTTTAAAAAACAGCTGATCCAGCCAGCTCGGGGTTCAGTCCCATTCGTACTCCAGCAGATCTAGCATCGTCTCCGCTCAGAGCTATCTGAATACAGGAGGGAAGAGGAGAGAGGGATTTACATTTGCGTCTTCTCACTGGAAGAGGAGAAAAAAAAAGAAAACACGAAAAAGCGGGAGGAGAATGTGGGCAGAGCATCGGAGGATGGTACCACAAGTTTAGACCAATCATTACAATAGCAGCTGAAAAATCTGGCAGTGCAATCTCAACGGGAGGTTGAGGGACTTCCTGCTGCGCCTTCTAGAAAATCCAGCGCTGTAGCAGCGCTCAGCAAGCACGGAGGAAGGGTGCTCTTTCTTTACCTTCTGTCCTTCTGCTTTTTCAGGAGCCTGATTCTTTTCCTTTCCTGAGCAAAACTATTCAAAACGAAAGCTGGAATTTACTTGTCTCGGGTTCCCAAGAGGTCGGCAGTTCAGTTCTACCCCAAACAGCGGCACAGATCCTAACGCCTGAAGGATGCAGCCGGTTACGATCCAACCATCTATCTGCGTTCGCTCCTACGTACCAGCGGTCCCTAGGACCAACGCATTTCTGATCAAACAGTGGCGACGGGGCTTACAAAAAGCATGGGCTTATCAGACCTCACAAAGGATGCGTACGTACGTGTGTTATCTCAGGCTTTCCTCTATACGCACGTTACGAGCTAAAGGAAAGCACCAGGTCTCAACTTCCATCCTTTTTCTGGCCCGTGACTAGCATCAAAAGGGACAACGTTAAATTGAAATGTAGTCCCTCAAAACACCCTGGAGTTTCAAACTGCATGCCTGCCCTCGAGTCCAAGTACTAAATTTGGAAAAACGTAAGCTTTCCCTATTATGAGAAACCCAAGCAGCCACAGGAAGGGAACCACCAGTACTCTTTGCTCCTGCTCGCAATTCTAACACCGTTTACTGAAGTTTGTAACAGCAGCAGGCGTATTCAGACAGGACTGGTTGTGGTTTTTTAAAGATCAAAACGCGGCTATAACAATACTTCACACTAGTATCATCTCTTAGAAACGTTCTGCAGGAACGTTTAAAGTTAGAGGAAGATGGTTGCGGCCATATACTGGCCAATGACAATTGTATCCGCGCGCATGCTGGCGTAACTATGTACGCAGCAGGTATCTGTGTTCAGATCTGGCCAGAGACCAGTTCCGACTGGGCGCGTACAAGATGTGAGTATTCGCACTCGCTGCACGCGTGCAAAGATGCTTGCTTTTCCCCGGATCTGTGAGCCATTACGCACGCCGCATCAGCACACGTTTCGAGTTACTCCTTCCAAGATTTCACTTGCTCCTCAAAGCAATCAGCCCGGGACAGAGTCCCAGAACTAACTTGCATCCGGGGACACTTTGTCTCCGAATATAACTTCCCTCCACACACACACCCCTCCTCTC